TGGGGGCAGCCACCCTAAACTCTTCCAAATTGGGTGCCTCTCAGTACCCTCCCCACACACCTCCTGTGAAAGTTTGCTTATTATTATAAAAGGGTTTCTCTCTCTCTCCCCCCCCCGCCACTCCCTCCCTGGCTCTCGCCCCCTCCTGCCCGCCCGACATCCCAGCTCAGCTTAGCGCTGATGATTGAAGACGTGTGGGTTTTAAGAGCAAACTTCAATTAGGCTTAAAACAGGATTTACTTAACACCCGAGCACTGTCAGATGGACTGGCCCGTTGCAGAGGCGCTTTCTCGACGGTGACCTTCCTTTTCCTCTGCTCCCCTCCACACACACCTCAAACCCCCCCCCCCATATCACCCATTTCCACCCACTCCACCCAATATATTTGGATGCAGCCTCATTGGGGTAGCGGGGGTGGGGTGCTGTTTTGGGGTTCTGCTTTCTAAAGCAATGCTTTTCATTTTCCCCCATTTATTTTATTTTATTGTATTGCCATGCTGGACAAGGAGGGCAAGACAGCCCCCAACGTGGCCACCATATTCAGAGTGACCCGTAGTCCGGATGACAAATCCTTTCCACTCCGCCTCCCCCCCCCCCGGCAAACCCCACAGTCATTTGATGGAAATGAATGGCAAAAGGAGATTGGGACGACAGCGGCCAGCCTTCCCGCTCAGAGCTCCCTTCAACGCCAAAGGGAGACCCAAACTTTCTGTCCAAAAGGGGGGTAATCTTTTCTTTTCTTCCCTCCCCCGCTCCTTCTCCTCCTCTCTTCTCCTGCGCCTTCTCTCTCCCCCCCCCCCCCGCATCAGATGGTAACACTGATTGAACAAGAGATTAGCACAATAGATCTCTAATCGAGGGGAAACGTTTCTTTTCACGCTAAGCACCGTAATTAATGGTATGAATCAATTAATTTGACTTTTATTGTGTCGAAAGGGAAAAAAGCGCAACAAATGAAAGCGAGGCTTTTAGCGCGGGTCAGGGCGCATTTTGTTTTGTTCCGTTCTCCCTCCCCGTTTACATTTCCCTGAGAGATTTCGGGAAGAGAGGATCTCTCTCTCGGAGATCTCCAGCTCAGAGAGGTCATCCAGACTCTGGGCAGAGCTCAGCCAAAGGGACAACTTTTATTTTAAAGACCCCAGGAAGAAGAAGGAGGACGAGGACGAGGAGATCCTATTTAGGAGTTCATTATTCCTTTCTTTAAAAGGAATCCTGTTGTGTGGATCGCAGATGCTATAAAATAAACGGGCTAACTCCAATTCCTCGCAGAAACAAGGAAGAGTTTATGGACCGGATTAAAACTGGGATCATTTGAAGGAAATGTTTTTTTTAAAAAAAAAAAACACACACACAAAAAGGAAATCAATAGAAACGACTGTCATCCTCACCAAAAGAAAAGGGATATGCGGATTTGGGCGAAGCACGGCGGATTTTCACGCGCACCCGCCCCCCCCCTTATGGATTTCCCCCAAGCAAGCATCTCATTACCTCGCCGCGCTGATCAGCACCTCAGCGAAAAGATAACATTTCTCCACTGTTTTTGATCGATACTTAGAAATACACTAACGTCCAGTCCTTTTCCCCACCGCGACCCAGAGAGCAAGTTCGTACTTGAGTTCTCTTTATGAAAAAGAAGAAGTATAAGCACGTGGTGAGGGCTTGTGGGTTGGGTGCTGGCTTATTTCAGAGGAGTTTCTTTTAAATCCTGTCCTTTACAGAAATTGGGGGGGGCAGCGATTTGCGGGAGGGAAACAAAAATAATAATAAAATAAAATAAACCCAGACGCAAAGAAGGACCCTGAAGCATAGCTGTCAACTTTTCCCTTTTCTTGCGAGGAATCCTATTCGGAATAAGGGAATTTCCCATTTTTAAAAAAAGGGAAACGTTGACAGCTATACCCTGCAGCTCGGCTTCTTTTTACCTTCGTGTTCATTTAGCAGATCAAATTTACGCTGAGAGAGAGAGAGAGAGAGAGAGAGAGAGAGGAGAGGAGAGAGAGACCCCTTTTAGGCGGCAGAGGAGCAGCCCCACCTCCCCGCAAGCCAAGGGCTCAGCAGTTTCGAAAACTTCGGATTGCCCCAGTTTCCCGAATAGGTGAAACAGCGAACGCCTCTCCCCTCTCGTGTGAACAAACAATTCAGAGGCAACATACACACCGAAAATTAGATTTACTCCCATGGCTTCCCCCCCCCTCCCCGGTTTCTTTGGGTTTGGTGGAGGAGGGAGACGGAATAAATCAATCATGTATTTTCCCAGTGCCACGCGTGTAATATTCGCCCCTCGATCTCTTTATTCCCCAGTTTAGTTCCCCAGCGCGACACCCTCACCGTAGCAGCTTCCCCGTGTCCTTACAAAGACTGACCCCACATTTTATAGGCTAACCTGGATGACAGATACTGCGCTGGAAGAAGTAACGCCACTGAGTTATATAAACCCACATTATATATATATGCTGGGGTGGAAATCGTTTGGTTTGTCTGCAAAATAATATTCATATACATTTTGTATATATTCATATACAATATGTATATAGCTATAACTATATAGCTATAATTATCTATCTATCATCTATCTATCTATCATCTATCTATCTATCTATCTATCTATCTATCTATCATCTATCTATCTACCATCTATGTATCTAAATTAAATCTGTGTTTGTATATCGCCTTCTGGTTTATTTGGAACTGTTTGAAGGCTGTCCTTTCCCCCATCATCCAATTCCCCTTTTTGTGACGGTTGTTGGTGTTTGTTATCCACATCGCCTCCCAAATCACAGGCGATTATTGCAACAATACACAGGATGAACAAACACAAAACAAAGCCACCCACGGAGCGGGCTGTTTCCTACCTAAACCCGAAGTTATTGCTCTCCATTGACATCGCTGACACAAGAAAAGGAAATAGGAATTTGCAACAAACTTTGACGACTCCCTCCTCTCCCCCCCCCCCCCCGAGCTTCTCTGCTTCCTTGGGAGAAACACCACCTTGATCGGAGCTGAATGGAGCTTTTTCATTCGCACACAGCTTCCCCCCCCCGCCTACCCCATTTCCTACTTTTGCATATGCTAAAGTGCCATCCTTTCTACTTCGTTAGCACCTCGCAAAATAATACCAGTCACAACAAAGACACCACCTAAAGATTTCTGCATTTACATTTTTTTCCTTTTTTTTCTTTTGTGGTGCGGGTTTTTGTTTTTGTTTCTCTGTTTGTTGTTGTTGTTGTTTTACGTCTTTTTTTTGTTGTTTTATTCCTTCTCTGCAACTGACCTAATAGATTAATCAATAGCTATTTTCTTATCTTCGGCTCCCAGCAGATGCTGCCGTTGTTTGGGAAGCTGGGGGAGGAAGGGAAGAAAAAACAAAACAATGGAGGGGGGTGATTTTTACAGACCAAAAGTAGTTCTGGTGGTGGCTGTTGGTGTGTGTGCGTGTTCTCAAAATAAATTAAAATAAATTAATAAACCAGTGGCTGGTCCTTGGTCCTGGCCATGATCCCTTCAGAAATTGATCCCGGCCCGTTTAGCACAGCTGGAGACTCCTTCCCCCCTTTTGTTATCTGACATTATCTTATTTACTTTGACAGAAAGAGCACGGACTTTTTAAAAAGAGCAACTCCTCCTTTCGCAAAATTTCAGCCTTTTGATTTTTTTATTCTATTGACAGATGCGTAGATGGAATAATTTTAGCACTCCTTTCGTTCCCAACAGAAGAAAGTTGCCGGACGAGATTGTTAAAATGAAAGCAGAGCCAAGAGGAGGCTTGTGAGTGTCTCTGTGTGTTTTTCACGTGGCAAAGGTGCTTTCTCTTTCTTTCTTTCTTTCTTTCTTTCTTTCTTTCTTTCTTTCTTTCTTTCTTTCTTTCTTTCTTTCTTTCCCTCTCTCTCTCCTCACCCCGCCACCCCCAGAGCCTCCCTGAAGGGGCTGCACTGATAACTCGGCTGCGATCAAGGGGGCGCGAGAGCCGCTGTTGTCCCTTTGTTGACAATTCCGCGCAACAACTTGAGTTTTGCCTGGCTTGCCAGCGGGGCTGCGCTGACGTCAGGGAACCACGTGGCCCCGCCTCCTAGTATATCTTGCACGGGGAAAGTAATCTATCAGGCGAGCCTTTTTCAAAAGGGACTTTCAAAGTGGCCAACGAGTTCCTCCTCACGCCCGTCGCTTCCCCCGCCCTCCTTCCTTCCCTCTCTCTCTCTCTCTTGGCTGCAAAGACACCACCTCCCCCCCCCCCGCAACACCACCAGCCTAAACCTTTAGAGGGAGGGGGCAAGAAAAGAAAGAGGGAGAGGGCAGGAAAGAGAGAGGGAGAAAGATCCTAAAAAGAGAAGAGAGAGGTGGAGAGGAAAGGAGGTGTCTATTGAGAAGTAGGGGGGTTATAGTCAAAGCCTGGAGCCGTGGCTGGAGCTTCCCAGCCCCGCGATGGGGAGAGCGGCTCGACAGGGATCTAACCTGCAGCGCCGGCGGCACTTCCGATGACTTGCGAGCAGCAGCAGCAGATCGCGCGATCCCTCCGGCCGGGGACAGCCTCGCCGCCAGGGCGCTCCGATGCGCGCTCTCCTGCCGCCTGCGGAGACGATTCCCCGACGAGGAAGAACCCCTGAAGTGATCCCAGCCCGGAAGAGGAGCCAGGCGAGGAGTTGGAGCGGAGAGCAGCTTCAGCCGCCTTCCTCCTCCCCCTCCCACCCGACGCACCCCCTCCCCACCGTCCTCGCCTCCTCCTCTTCCTCGCCGCCGCCCCGTCGCTGCTGCCGTCGCTGTCCTTTACGGAGGGGCTGGCGGGGGAGTCCCTCTTCGCCGCCGCTGCTACCAGCACTATCCTGATCCTTGATCGGAGAGAAAGAGGGAGACCCGGCTGAGAGATCGCTCCGAGAGGACTTGGAGCTGTTCCCAGATGCCTGCCCGGGGAGAAGAAGGCGCCGAGGTCGGCAGCTAGAGGAGGAGGAAGAAGAGGAGGAGGAAGAAGGAGGGGGGAGGAGCAGGAGGGAGGGGGGAGCCTCTTCCTCTGCCAGCTCCGCTACCTGTTGGAGACGGATCTTCGAAGGAGGGGGACTGGATTGGTTCCCGGGCGCCTGGCTGGCCCCCACCCTTCCTCGTTTTGTTTTGCTTTCTTTAAAAAAATATTAGTAGTAGTATTACCCGCGATATCATTATTATTATTAATCCCCGCTCTCCGTCTCCCGCCACCCTCCCGCCAGCGGTGATGACCCTGTCCGGCAGCCTGAGCTCCAGCGACATGTCCGGCCAGGCGGTGCTGACGGCCGAAGATGTGGACATCGACGTGGTGGGCGAGGGAGACGACGGCCTGGAGGAGAGAGGCGGCGGCGGAGGCGCCAGCGACGGCGAGGCGGGCTGCAGCCCCAGCGCGCTGGCCGCGTCGTCGGGCTTGCCAGTCCAGCTGGCCCTCGACGAGGCGGCCGCTGCAGAGCTGCTGCTGGCCAAAGAGGCAGCGGAGACGACGACCAGCTGCAGCAGCAACGGCGGCAGCCCCGTCGAGGAGAAGCTGGCCGTAGAGGAGGGAGCGCCGTCGGGGGGAGCGCCGTCGGGGGCCGCGGCGGCCGCTGCTGCTGCTGCCTCCAGCGGCGGCAAGCCCAAGAGCAGCTTGGTGAAGCCTCCGTACTCGTACATCGCCCTCATCACCATGGCCATCCTTCAGAGCCCGCAGAAGAAGCTGACGCTGAGCGGCATCTGCGAGTTCATCAGCAACCGCTTCCCCTACTACCGGGAGAAGTTCCCCGCCTGGCAGAACTCCATCCGACACAACCTGTCGCTCAACGACTGCTTCGTCAAGATCCCCCGCGAGCCGGGCAACCCGGGCAAGGGCAACTACTGGACGCTGGACCCGCAGTCCGAGGACATGTTCGACAACGGCTCCTTCCTGCGCCGGAGGAAGCGCTTCAAGCGCCACCAGCAGGAGCAGCTGCGCGAACAGACGGCGCTCATGATGCACAGCTTCGGCGCTTACAGCCTGGCCGCCGCCGCCGCCGCCTCGGCCGCCGCCGCCGGGCCCTACGGCAGAGCCTATGGCCTGCCCCACGGCGCCTATCCGCACCCGGCCGCCGCCCTCCAGTACCCCTACATCCCCCCCGTCGGGCCCATGCTGCCTCCCGCCGTGCCGCTGCTGCCGTCCAGCGAGCTCAGCCGGAAAGCCTTCAACTCCCAGCTCAGCCCCAGCCTGCAGATCCAGCTCAGCGGACTCAGCGCCGCCGGATCCGCAGCCGCTGCAGCCGCCGCCGCCGCCGCAGCCGCCGCCTCGTCGGGGGTGAAAGCCGAGCCCAGCAGTCGGCCGTCGTTCAGCATCGAGAACATCATCGGCTGCGTCGGCGGGCCGGTCGCTACGTCGTCGGCAGCCAGCGCGCAGACTTTCCTGCGGCCGCCGGTCACCGTCCAGTCGGGCCTCCTGGCGCACCAGCCGCTCTCGCTGGCGCGGAGCACGGCGGCCATCGCGCCTATCCTCAGCGTGCCCACGAACATTATCTCGGGACAGTTCTTGCAGCCCGCCGCCTCTGCCGCGCCCGTGCAGGCGAAGTGGCAGGCGCAGTAGGCTCGACGGGGCCCCCGCGGGATGCTTCCCCTCTCGCGCTCCTGCTCTTAGGACGGCTCTTGGGTTTTTTTATAATAAGAAACGGTCGTAAAGATTTTCTACCCGACGTCTCCGCAGAGAGCAGAGACTTCGAAGAAGAAGGGAATGCGGCAAAGTCCACGGACTTCTTGGGACTCCAGTCGCTGGTTCCTGGACGGCGCCCTCTTGGAGGCCGAACCGTTGCACGGACGCTTCTCCAGCGCTTAAAAACTCTCGCGCTCCCGCTCACACGTACAAAAAGGAATGCTGTGTCTGTCTGTGCAGGTAAAAAAAAAGCCTAACGCTCAAAAACCCCACGGCAAAGTATTTGTACATATTTGTATTCGGGCGAAAGCGGGAGGCAAAAGACTGTCTTCCCTTTTGCGGTTTTTATTTTTTTAAAACGAGCCACATTTGGGGGGAAATAAAGGAAACACACACGCGCGCAAGCAAAGGATTGGGAGCCCCGAACTTTCACTTTTGTTGAAGGTTCTTATTCTCCTCGGTCGTTTCCTTCGGCAGGGGAAAAATAAGCCCGAACACACACCTGAATAATGAGGGGAGGCATTTTGATTTTGGATAGGAGGAAAAGAAAATAACAAAAAGAAATCGAGCAAAAAATGAAATAGGGGAATTCCCCTACCGTTCTATTATAGAAGTCTGTTTATATATGAATGAATATATGTATTCTAAATGTTATCCCTTCGTGTTGTACACAGCTTTGTAAATAAATTTTTAAAACGGTGCTTTTGGTTGTTGACTTCCTACTGATGGGAGCGTGTGAAATCATTCGAGGCAGAGGAGATGCCGTGGAAAAACAATTTCGCGGCGTCGGGTAGGAAGTCGAGGCCCTCAGGTGGGAGAAGATTCAGTTTAAACCGCTGGGATTCGCTTCCCCGCAAAGGTGGGCATTCCGATGCCTTAAAACGGAATAGGCGAAGGGTAGCTATCACAGATTCCACGAAAAATATCGCCCTTAACATTTTTTAAATAATGATGTTGATGATGGAAAACATATAAAGACAACTTCCCATTTAAATACCTGCAAAATTACGCAGCGCGAGTTTTAATTTCGCAAAGGATCTTATATACAGTTTTTAAGATCTCAGGTTACTGAAAATGCCTTCGTTAATAAAGCAAGCTGGACCAGGGTTGTTCGCTGAGGCCAAATTGTTTCTCGGTGGTGGTGGTAAAAGGACAACCCCCCCCAAAAAAAAAAGCTATAGGAGAGGAAATCGAATTAAAGACGGAATCAGCATTAACAAAAAATAAATTAAGTTTTCCATTCTCATCCAATAACCGGCTAACTTTAATTCTCCGCCAAGGTTCCTTTTCCTTACCCAAATAATGCATTTCCTCCCGCTTTTACAGCAGAGGAAAAGGCGTCAGGCTTCTCACCTGCTCGACTCTGAAGGCGTGGGTCGCTTTGTGCGATGTCTGCGAATACTGGGGTTTAACTCCAGGTTTTCGAACTGAAGGCTTGGAACGGATTTTGGTTATTTTCCCCTTCCTGAAATAGAAACAAAGGTATAGGGCACAACCCAGAATCACCCACCTTTGTGAATGAAAGCTCCTCTTTTAACAAGCAGCTACGCGGTGAGGTTGCGGCGCGATGGAAAAAAGAAGGTGTGCGTTACAAACCTCTCGTCGACGGAAAAAAAATGTCTTGAAGCAGGAAATCGTGCCTTTTTGCTGTGTCCTATCGGGTAAAGACGTCTCTATAGCTATTCCTATATATCAGTAGCCTTGTAGATAGAGATCTGTGGTTAGAGAAATGGGGATATTTGGGGTCATATTTTAAGTCACGGAAGGGCCTGGCGAGGAGGTGGAGAGGGGAGCCATTTGACTCAATGGGCGCCTTTCCCCTTGACTTTCTGAGAATGTAGATCCCACCCTATGGCGTGATAGAACCATTTTGGAGCGAATTTGTTTGCATTCTGAAAGAAAGGAGACAACCGAAAGCTTCAAAGGGTAGGGAATATGGGTATGGCGCGCGCGGGGGTATATATCTGATATCTCTATCTATGTATTATATATATACACACATGACAGTGGAAGTGCAAATGACCCCTCTCTCTTTGGAACAAAACATGCGCTTTGTCAGTTGCGGGAATGCCAGGATTTCGTTCTGCTCTGTCCCTGGTCAGGAACGGGCCTTGCTCAGTTTCCTTTAGCGCAGGCAAGAGGCTGGATACTGGCCTGGATGCGCCTTTAAGGAGGGCTGCTGTCCTTGCCTGGTGCACAATTTGTTTTCCAGATAAACCATAAATATTATTCCACCCTAAGTAAACATTTAGACCTCGGGATATGTGGACGAAAATAAAGTAAGCTGCCTGGTGACGGGGGGGCGGCGGGGAGGAGGCGGAGAGCGAGGGCTTGAACTTTATAAATAAGGACCTGCTAATCATTTGACACTCCGAGGCAAACAGGCAGCTCATCCAAGCGGGCGATTAGGTATCAGCCGCTTTTTCAAGCAGGTCCCTACATGGAAGCACCGGGTGTGGGTGTGGGGGTGTCCCATTTTCTCTCCCTTCTGCCCCCCCCTTACCAAAATATCTTTCTCTCTCTCTCTCTCTCTCTCTCTCTCTTCTCTCTCTCTCTCTTTCTCTCTCTTCGCTTTTAAAAAACCTCTCTGCTTGTCTGTCTCTCTCTCTCTTTTCCTTTTATTTATTTTTTCTTCCAAGGCCGGAGAAACGGATTTAACTTGCTCGGTGCGCTGCTGCCTCTCCCCCTGCTGCCGCTATAAAAGTCACAAGTTGTTTCACAGTTGTGTCTGGCTAATCGGTTTTTACACAAACAGCAAATGGTCCGTGGGTTGTGCAAAACCCCGGTCTATATTTAGCTGATACCCCTGGGAAAAGAGGAAGGGGGCTCTTCTTGAATTCACGGGCCGGCTCGCCGTTGCTGCTGAGCCAGGCCTTCGCCATGACATTGGATAACAGAGGGCTCATTCCAGCCCTGATCCTTTGTTACTTATAAAATTACTCCCTTCATATTTCCGCGCATAGCTCCAATACCTCGCGGCCCTGGCGGAGGGCAGGGAGGGTGTGTGTGTGTGTGTGTGTGTGTGTGTGTTGAGGGTCATCAGAAGCCTTTTGGTTTAAAGTGGAATAAGGTCCACGCAACACACCCAAAGGCGTCCCCGGGCATCATCTGGAGGTAGAAGAGAAGGAGGGAGGGCAAGGGAAAGAGAGCCGTCAACTTTCTGCCCAATTGGCTCCGCTTGACAGAAAGGAAAGGGGGAGGAAAACCTCGAGACTTTTCTGCTTGGACCTTTTTTTTGTCCCTCGTAGCGTGCAAGAGAATATATAGGGCATGATAATCTGGAAGGACATTGCTGCTTGGGTACCAGGCACCAAGGTGTAGACCTAGGGGAATTTCCAGTTTCAACAGGAATTATAAAATTCTGTTTTTCTCCTTCTGCGTGTATCAGAGCAGCTCCTTGATCCGAGCAGGAAGGATCGGGGATCCAGATCGAGGCGCTTCTCCTTCTTAAGGCGATCCCCGCTCTCTGACCAGCTCAGAGGTGGATCCTTTGAGTTAAATTGAATCCTTCTCCACGGCGTTAGGTTGTGTCCAAGCTGCTGGGAATAGTTAAGAGCTAGGCATTTGCATTCGCAAACCTAATGGCTGGTGCCTGTGCTGAAGGCCAAAGGAAAGCGCATTTGGAATTATTAGTGTTAGGCATAAGGAGCTGTGGTGTGTGTGTGTGTGTGTGTGTGTGTGAGAGAGAGAGAGAGAGAGAGAGAGAGAGAGAGAGAGAGAGAGAAGGAAGGAAGGAAGGAAGGAAGGAAGGAAGGAAGGAAGGGAGGGAGGGAGGGAGGGAGGAGGGAGGGAAGAGGGCGGCCATTGATGTTACCGCCAGGAATCCGGGGAGAAAAAGTCCGAAGAAGAGGCAGGCAGGTGAAGCTGGACTCTGGAAGGATGACAGCCTTGTAGTGGCAGAGTGGACGCCTCTAGGGGGCTTTTGGCGTGCGCAGAGTTCTCCTGCGCTCTTGGATCGTTGCCTTCCAGCCTCCAGGTCCATTGAATGAAAACCGGGACAGAAAGAGGCGCGCTTCATTTTATCCTTGAATCTTGGGTTGGGGCGTCGTCATATCATGGCAAGAGGAGGAAGAGAACTTTTCATTTTAGAGGCTAAACTGGGGGAGAATCCCAGGGAAAGCCACGAGAAGATGACTATCGTTGTGATCATTCAAAGATGGTCATCCTTACGCGGCTTAATGGGGAGATGTGCAAGACACGGGAGGAGGCGGATATAGTGGGCCAGATGCTCAGATATATAGGCAGGCGAGAGAAAGGCGGGAGGGGAATATGGGGAACAGATAATCGATCTCGAATGCTAGGCATTGATTTCGCAGAATATATGCCCGTTTGCCTTCTGACCCTTCTGAAGCGTCAGTCAATGTCAAGAGGGACGTCATATTTTTCAGGCTAGACACCTGGGTGTTTGTGTTTCATCTGGTTTGAATTGGGGAAGGAATGTAGGTGAGTAAATGCATCTCGATACCCCCCCCCCCAAAAAAATAAAGTGCTGTGGAAGAGTAGTAGTTACAACAAAAACAACCCAATTCTGCTCTTTTCGTTGGCTGCTGCAGTATAGTAAAGCGCGGGTGTAGGGGGCGATAGAGATAGTAGTATCTTGGTCACGATTCGGACCCCATTCCCAGGACCTGCCCGTTCCTTCCTGCCCAGAACTATGGCGGCAAAAGAGAAGGCAAATTCTTCCCAATTCCAGCAGCGCCACCAGCCCCCTAACAAAAGGCCAGCCCCTCTAACAAAAATCCTGGCTACGCCAATGCCACGATCCAAATTCTCAGAACACCAGAATTTTTCATTTCTTGTTCTTCCATTTTCTCTTCTCTGCCATCCTCCAGACACCCAACTGTTCAACTAAAACAAACGCCTGTTTTAACCAGACATGACACTCTGTCCTCTGGAGCATTTTCAAAGTAACAAGATAATGGGTGGTGTTCAACTAAGTCTTAGATCCGACCAATTGAAATTTATGGACCTAACTTAGGCAGGTTCATTAATTTCAATGGGATTGCTCTGAGTAAGACTTAGTTGAACACTACCCTTT